ATACATATAACACACACACACACACACACACACACACACACACACATTTTATATATATATATATATTCACATATACGTATACGGAGAGAGACGATTTAAGATCGTAAAAATTTTGACAAATGCGTCATGTGTCAGTGTGCAAGCTGCAAGCCACAAGAATTGACCAGTCACAGTCGAATAGGAAGAATACTTGATTGTGATTGATCCATTCTTAGCCCACGATCCACGACACCGACATACGACGCATTGTAGAACAGGCCTACGAAGTTAGAGAATAGGCATATAGGTGGCCGAAGTGCCGAGTGCACATGTACGTGCTTTGCCTTTGTATGCATGCTACGCGTCTCTCCTCACAATCGATCCTTCGGGTGACACCCGTTTGACCACGTCCCGATTGACCACTAGCCATTCACAGCGCTTGAACAGTGAAAAAATTCTAGGCACCGGCCCTTGCGAGTGGCTAGTGATCAATCAGGACGTGGTTAAACGGGTGTCACCCCATAACGACATATCTAGCTAGTGAAACTGTTGTTAAGAAGTTAGAGAATAAATCTGGAACGCTCCCTTTCCGAATAATATATTGTTATATGTTGTTACATCTATATTAATAGCTATATTTTAACAAAAATTCAGCAAATCGGTGGCCTGAAGGCCGGAATCTTTTTGATTAGAAGGATCGGGTGATACTCGTTTGACCACGTCCCGATTGATCACTAGCCACGCAGGGACTGGTGCCTAGAATTTTTCCACTGTTCAAGTGCTATGAGTGACTAATGTTCAATCGGGACGTGATCAAACAGGTGTCACCCGTCGTTACGCAGCTTTTTTTTCCATATATTATACCTGCGCAACGACAACATAATGATAACGACACTGTCGTTGAGAAGTTAGAGAATAGGCCTATACAGCGTCCCAATTGATCACAATTACTCACAGGAGTCGATGCCTAAAATTTTTCCACTGTTCAAGCGCTGTGAGTGGCTAGTGGTCAATCAGAACGTGGTCAAACGGGTGTCACCCATTCGGAAATGATGTATTTTTGAACTATTAATGAGAAATTGCGATTTGAATTTTAGTATGCTCCATTAGTATAACTACAGTAAGACGAACGTGTGGCGTAGTGGATTAGATGCGTTGGAAATGTAGAGATTGCGTGTTCGCGTCTTAGTATTTTATATATAATTTCTTTTTCTTTTTTACATTTATTTTTTGTTACAAAAATATATTTAGTTTATAATAATACGGAAACTTATTATTTATATATTTCAACTTTTTATTCCTGTTTGTTTTTAATAAAAGTAAACAGTGTTAATATGACAAGTTTATACATATATATATGTATTTATAGATGGCGAGATATTTATATCATATAAAAAAAGTTGTTTGTACATAAATAAACCAATAAATGTATACTACTGTGATCAAATATAAACGAGATTTTTGTTATAGAGTGAAAAATCTTTATTTATTCTTCAAAATCAAATTCGTCGCCTTCAAAATCCCCTCCCGACACTTATGCCAACGCTTTTTCCAATCCTCGAAACACTCTGAAAACTCTTCTTCCGGAATGGCCTTCAATACTTTCTTCGTTTCGGCTTGTATCTCCTCAATCGATTCAAAACGGTGTCCCCGGAGCGGTCTTTTGAATTTACTGAATAGCCAGAAGTCACACGGTGCTAAATCAGGCGAATACGGTGGTTGTGGAACGATATGAGTCAAGTTTTTGGCGAAATGGTCACGAAGAACCAGTGTAATGTGAGATGGCGCATTATCGTGATACAAAAATTATGAGTTATCTGCCCATAAATCTGGCCTCTTGAGGCGAATAGCTTCACGCAAACGACGCATAACCCTAATATTCCTTGTTGACAGTTTGGCCCGGAGAAAGGAATTCATAATGCACCACACCACGATAATCGAAGAAAACTGTTAACAAAATCTTGATTTTTGAGCGACTTTGGCGATCTTTGGTCTTGCCTCACCTTTTACATGATATTCGCTCGATTAGTCGGTTGTTTCCGGGTCGTACGCATAGATCCAAGTCTCATCTCCAATTATCATGCGTTTCATCTCGTCCTGGTAGTCAGAAATCATTGTTTCACACACTTCAACGCGACGCTGTTTTTCCAAAAAATTGAGTGTTTTCGGAATCAAACGAGATTTGACTCTTCTCAAATCTTTTCAAGCACAAATGGTCTTTCAAAATGGTCTGGACTAATCCAAATGAAATGTTTACAGTATCGGCAAGTTCTCTAATTGTCAATCGACCATTTTGGAGCACCAAATCCTTGATTTGCTTCACATGTTGTTCATCAGTTGATGTTTTTGGTCGTTTTTGATGTGGTTTTCTACGCTTTCTCGACCATCTTTCAACATTTTATACCAGTCAAATACTCTTGGTCTTGATAGAGCCTGGTCACCAAAAGCCTTCTGCAACATTCTGAACGTTTCAGTAGCAG